TAAAACATCACATGAAAATAGATAATAAAGCCTCTGAGAAACAAGTGCTTGTGTGCAGTCTGCTGAACGTGGGTAGTGCTTATTTCATTATTCTTCTATCTCAGTAGTTTAATGCTGGTTTCATTTCATCATGTCACCTGAAATACATTGTGTGGTTAATGAGGCTGAACACAGATGCAGCTGAGCCCTAAAATAAAGCTCCAGTTTTACTGTGTGGCTCCAGCACTGTTACATAATGTCTTGTGAAATGTAGCTACTATAAACAATTCTAACACATTTTACTGTTGCAGTTAATAATCTGCTCGTGGTTTGATGACTTCATAATCAAAATACGAACTAAAACAAATCCACGAGTATCAGAACAAGTGATCTGTGACGGCCGTGATTGGCTTCCTAAGCATTAGGAATAATCTCATTGGGACTGGAGGATGTTTAAACTGGATAGAGTGCATGCTTGCTTATTTTCCATCGTATATAATCTCCAGACGCTTTATTAGGAACACCTTCGTACTTCAAGGTTTGACCCCCTTTTGCCTGCAGATCTGCCTTAATTCTTCTTGGTATAGATTCAGCGAGGTGCCGGAAACCATGTTGACACGACAGCGTCGCACAGTTGCTGCAGATTTATCAGATGCACATTCATGATGTGATTTCCACATTCATCCACATTCTCCTACACGCCTTCCAGGACCAAGCAGCCGACAGAGGAGCTTTATTAACATGTGAAGAGCCCGACATTTCTGACCCGGCTTAAACAAAGAGCTCAAAGGAAGAGTCTGTATTGGACTCCACCAGGTGGGTGGAAACATAGCAGCACATGAGAAAACACAGTGACATAAGTGCTGGTTTCATTTTATTTTACATTAACATTTTAACATAAAAATAAACATATGTAATTAACAAAAATCCTGTTAAACCCACTCAAACGCCTCCATAAATAAACTCAAAATCCCATCTCAGGTGGGACAAACACAGGTTCACTGATTTTTTTTTTGTGACCTGAGTTGTGTCGCCTCTTTGGGCTCTGCCTGTTAATCGTGGTCCCCTGACAGTAAAGCACTTTCGTTCCCACGGCCCTCGGCCTTTCAGACTTCACATAGGGGAATATGCAACATGCTGTGGCAGGTAATTTCAAATGCAATGTTTCTATCAGATCAATAAACATCAGCAAACACACAAACAGTTTGTGTGCAGTTTGTAGCACAGTGTTGCTAGCTAAAGGTCCAGCTGCTGTTTTCACGGGGAGAGAAAAGAAAGGGAGCGAACTTCACTCAGAGATGGAGAAAGATGACAAAGACAGGAAAGAAGGAAGAAATGTTTATATTTAAAGATAAGGACTGATCAGTGGTGTTGGAAATTTAAAGCTTACATGCAAGTCCTCGTTTTTTTAAATTAGATATCGGGTTTGTGCATGTGGCAATATGCTTTTGTATGCAGTTTGTTTTGCCTGCTGCAAAACAAACTGAAGTAGACTCGCTGTGGTTTCCTGCACAGTGATGGGTTTAAAGTAAAGAACAGTCTGTGACCGGTGCACAGTGGCTGTGGTTTCATGAAGTTAAACTGATGATGCTGAGATGCATTCACTGAATTCCACCTTCATACCAACTTTATAGTGTCTAATATAAAGACAGCATAAACTGTGTATTGTATAGAGAATGGAAATTAGCCAGAACAACTCACGAGACATCTGCTGACACCTTGTCAGAGCAGCAGCAAGTCAGCTGATCACAGCCTGTACACTAAGAAAATCTACTGGAGCTCTCAATAGAATTATTGTGTGCTGTGATTCTTTTGCCCACACTGAGCCATTAAGAACGATTTTAGCGTTCCCCCACGTGCTCAATCACACTTCAGCCCCTGACTGTGCTCATTTTCTGCTTAGATGCAGAGTCACCCTCTACAACGTAG